TCTGAATACAATGTATGCTCAATGAAAACTTAAATCGTACTAAGATTTTTAAATAATGAGGACATTCATTTGGAATTCAGTAACAATCTGTTTAATCTGTATTTTAAATAAAAATCTGTAAATCTGTACATACAGATGCTTGGTCCTGAAATTATCCAGAAAATCTTTAAAATACAGAATAATCTGTATATGTGGCAACCCTGTTCACCAGGTGTAAATCTCACCAAACTGTGGTGAGATTGAGTTTCATGATTTTTGCTTTACACTCGAATGCTTGCGAAACTTCGAACAAAGGCTGGCAGCAGTCGCTTCGTGTCTGTCATCGGTGAAGAGAAAAAAGAGATAGCATTATAGTGGACCCTACACGATAGCTTTTATTGACAATAATAGTATTGTCAATACATTCAATATTAACATCAATACATCGGTATTGACAATATTTCTGTATTCACATCATCAATATTATTGTCAATAATTTCCCTTCGCTTCAATATACTGATACGTGTGGGGTTCGCTTATTATACATTCTATTTCTTAAAAAATGAGATGCAACGGAATCATGTTTGCGTCGATTCAACTCTCAGCTTCAACTTTACACGTTGTGAATAGTCTCGCAATATCAAAGGAGCTTGTAAAATCAATATCAAGCATGATATTTTGATACAATGTCACGCGTCATATCGAGAGCATATGAGAGCTGAAAAATATGGATTTGTTAATGACTATGCCATCACTGCTTTAAATTATACAAATATTAGGACAATCTGTTATTTTGAGACCATTTGCATTGTCATTGGCGTACCTAGATGGTTCGAATTTGAAAGTTATTTCGGTATTATTGTTTAAATAATTTAAACGTTTTCAAGGCCATTTTGGCTTCATAGGGGAAATGTAGGTAATGTCGGCCTACATGTCCCTAATTTGGGCCCATCGCTAAAAATCTGCTATTTATCATTTTTATCTAGATGAACGCGTTATTGGGACGTTGCTAATGGATATTTTTGGTTGCTATTGAAAATTTAGTCGATTGCTGAATTTATGTATGGGCCCAAATTAGGGACACTTAGGCCGACATTACCTGCATTTCCCCTACTTATTAATTGTGCGTAATTCAGAGAGTCGAAGTAACTTTTGTCGTGGTGACTCTCGATTTGATTTGCACCATGACGCGACTTTTCTCACTTCACAAGTGACAAAAGTCATTTCGACTCTCGGAATATCTCCCAGTGCTTTGAATACTTTTGTATAGGTTTTTGACGAATTCTAGCGTTGTAATGGCTTTGTGGTGTTTGTAGACTATTTTCGCATTTGGTGGTGTTTTGTGGTGTTTAAGTGCAATTTTTTCGCTATTTAAAAGATGCTCGGAATAACCTTCCAATAGAAGTCGGGAAACAACTTCCGGCGAAAGTTTGTGGAGCATTCCCAGAGGAGGACGATTAAAATTTCTGGAAGAATTCAATAGATACTTGCGGCAGAAGTTTAAAGAAACTTCTCGAAGGAGACGGGATAAACTTCCTGAAGGCGCTAGAAAAAAATCTATGGTAGTTTGGAAGAATCTTCTGATGAAAATCGGAAGCTTCTTTCGGCGAAAGTAATAGGGGTTTACGGGTCAGTCGGAAGAAACTTCAGGGCAAGTTGGGGAAAAAAATCCAGAAGCAAGAGATTTCTGAGATATATCGTAAGAAATTTCTGTTGGAAATCGGAAGAATCTTCTTTAGAAGTTGGCACAATATTCCGGGGGAAGTTGAAAAAAAAACTGGCGGGAGAAGATGGAGCAAAGCCAGAAGGGAAGTCCAAAAAAATTTCCAAGAGGAACTGGAAAATAGTTCACGGGGTAAGGTTGAAGGGAAATTCCAGGAAAAAGAACAAAGCGAGGGGGTGACTCTATCTACGGTGCAAGATAGATTGCGTTTTGCTGGGGTTAGCTACGCGCACGCTGAGTAGATAGAAAGAATATTGATGACGAATCTGGAGATTTCCGTGATGCAAGTAGATGGGAGAAATGAAAGTAAATTTTTCGTAGATTCATTTGTGTGATTTATTGAGCATCTAGAATTAAGATTTAGATGTGACGCACCCTCGGAAGAAAGTTTCATGGGAAAATTAAATAAACTTCAGGAAATTAAAGCATGAACCTTCTGAAGGACCTATTTGGCTACTGGATTAAAGTATTTCCTAATACCCAGGAATTATCGATTCCTGGGTTAACCAAAAATGGCGAGGAAATGGAAACTTTAGTCGAAAGAGTTCAAGCATAAGACAGCTTTAAAGATGACTAACTTTTTGATCACTGAATCTAAAACAATTGAGGTATTCAAAAATATAAATATCTCTCACAACAGTTTTCTCTTACACTTATGCGCGGACAGCCAATAATCATTTAGATTATTTAAAAAATCGGTACAAATCGTTATAAAATCACAAATATCGGTATTATGTGAAACCTTATCTGTACATCGGTATCAATTTCCAAATGCACTGATTCAAGCATTTCGAGATGGGCTTTCAGAAGAAATTCCATTCGAGGTAATGGGCCATTGGGGTTAATGCCCTTAACTCGAAAAACACTATGCAATGTTTAAAGCACGATAGCCCTATATGCGAGTGCTTAGCTACTCAGGCTTATTCCACGTATTTTTTCAGCTAGTGGAGTCGATCAACGCGCATAAGAAAAAGCTCCTTTGACAAGTGGTGCCTACTTTGATCGGAACTAAGCTTTTCAGAAATAACTTATTTCTACCCACGTGGTTGACGTACGCTAAAACCAGCTACCCGTTTATCGGCTGAAAGTAGCTCATAATTCGTAAACGTGCACGCACACACCAAAAACGTGTTAACAACTTTTTGTATGAAAGCCAGTAAAAGTTAGTACAAATCTATTGGGTTGGGAATTTTCTTGATTTTCCCTGAGTATAGAGAGTATCATTGTGCTACTAGCTCAATATACAAATGCATGCATTGTTGACATAGGAAGCTCTCAATTAATAACTGCTTTAACACATCTGTGGAAAGTGCTTCAGTAGCACTACGTTGACACTGTCTAATGTTTTAGTCGTAACTTTATTGCTTATGTTTTTAATTACAACATATTTATGGGAAATGTAGGTACACCATCATAGCTTATGATATTCAAAACAATTTCTAAAAATGTGCTACTTTGACTCGTACACACGCCTTCAACCTCTTAGGGAAATTATCGACGATGGACGTTAGTTCCTCCACAGATATTGCATCCCAGACTTTTGTCAAACTTGCTTTCAGATGATCTAAAGATACGAGTAACTTAGTACAGGCTCTGGACTCAAGAATAGACCAGACGGTAGCCCATTGGATTTAAATCAGGAGAGTTTGAAGGCCATTCATCTTTTGTCAAATATCTAGGAAAAAGTTAGCTACAAAGCTCCAGCGTCTTTTTCGCTCCATGTGATGGTGCCCAATCCTGTTGAAATGTCCAATCGTTGTTACCGAAATGCGTACGTGCCTAAGATGCAACTGTGTCCGTCAGCAGCTTCTGGTAGACTATTCGGTTGATTTTGATGCCTTTTTCGATAAATATTAAGGGAGTTTTACCGGAAGCCGTAATTCCCGCCCAAACCATCACCGAAGCTGGATGATGTGATCTGGCAACATTCGTAAGGTTAGAAGAACCCTTTGGAAATAGCTGGCTATCGTTTTGGTGGTTCTGGTATTGCTCAGCAGTGAAAATCTTGGATTTTTGGTACCGATTCCTTTTCATCCTGTCATTTAGGTAATGGTTCTTCGAAAATTTATAAGAATGCAATGCTAAATCTTTGCGTAGCACAGTTCGTACTGACTGTGGGTCGATTTTCAATGATTCCGCCATTTTTCGGATAGACGTCTAGAATCACGATTAATCCTAAGACGAAGTATGTTCCGGTTCTGAGGGGTCCTCGCACTTCTTGTTCTGCCTCTTCCTGAACGGTCCTCCAAATTTCCGAGTTCATGGTACCGTTTTAAAGCATCCCGAACTGTTTGCAAAGGCATTTGCAATATTTTTTGCAATACGTGCCGGACGAATTCCTTATTTATAAAGCTTAATTACCGCACTTCGTAGTGGACTGGACTTCATTACGACAATACACGTGAACCAATTCAAACGAAACTACAAGTGTTTGTTTATTATGTATCAAGGTCTCAATGGGCAGAGGTGTGCTCATTTCAGCATCTGTCAAATTCGAGCTTAACACTGAGAGAAAAAACACGGATAATTTTTCCTCACCCTGTAGGTAAAGGTTCGTCATAGAGCGTTAAGGGGTTACATATATGTAAAATTGACTAAAAAATCGATTTTTCAAAAATGGTCGAATTCGGTTCGTTTTAGTAAACACATGCTAGTATTAGTATTAGTAAACACGTATTTGTAACTGATGTTGACCGAATTTTGCTCCTCGCGCAAAGCGAACTGTAAAACTTGCAAAGCGTTTGCCTGAAAACACAGAGTTGATTTACGGGTCTCACGATATCTCAGGACTAGATGGACCAAATTGGCTGAAATTTAGAGTGTAGACTCACATGATGTATCCCGTGGGCATGATGAAGCCGTATTTTAAAATTTTACTGACGATTTTTCATATGAAAAAACATAACCTGTTTAACGAGTCTTCACTCAAAAAATGAGCCGATTTGGTCAAAGCAGTAATGAGATATCGTGGGAGCCGTTTTTTCAAACCACTAACTACAAATAAGAATATCTGAACAATTTTGTTACCAAATGTCTTCATTTTTATTTGGTATACAGTTGAAAATGTATTTTTTGTTGTCCTAAAAACAAGATCATAAAAAAAGAATCAAATGTGTGCTTATAACAACCCATGATTTTTTTACCGAATTGCTTATATGTATCCCCTTAATGCCAGGGCTTAGAATGAGTTTCGCATTTGTTAGGGGAAGTGGCACCCAATTTAATAAATATCTTGTGAAGGAAAATTCAAATATATTCCTGACAGCTGAACATTGCAGTTGAGTTTAAAGATAAATACCTTCATAGCACCGGGTGGGTAAAGGTGTCTCAAATCTGATGGTGTTACCTGTAAATAAAAAAAAAATATTTGATGAATACGTTGTGAAACTCAGTAAAGATGATAATGTTGTTCAGCTCTGAATCATAGTATTCCTACGAATGACCTCCAGCTATTAGCTATAAAATAGTGTATAATATGATTTTCTCAAGAATCGAACAAAGAAGTCCTCACAGCAGGTCGATGCCGTCATACGTTCATAGCAGAATGCGTCATAATCTGCAAATGGGTTGGTATAGCCGCCGACGACGTGGACGCTCTCAGGGTCGTTCGTTGGCGCTGCCGATGGCTGTCGATTTCGTCATAAGCTGAAATGACCTACGCTGAACGGTGAAATCGTTTTATCTCACCTCCATCTAGATATGTGGGATGCATCACTATCGTCGAAAGGTCGTCCAACTGGTTTGAGCTGCATTATTGAAATCGTTCCTAAGATTTTCGCTTTAATTTTATCATTCAACAATGTAACAATTCTCAGCATGCAACTGCAGCCAGTCCAGTATGCAAATCTTCAAGTTCACCCCTCCATCAAACGCACTATGCTTGTCTATCTACTACAATGGAACGAACCATCACTCCTTTCACCGATATGGACGGTACTGGTGCTAGTGATTGGTTCCATCGAATAACCAGTTAGCTACCGGGTTGCGTTACCCGCTAATTATTATATCACGAGAAAAACAATCGTTCAAATCACCTCGGTTCGTTTCGGTCCGGTCCAATAGTACCGCCGTCCATCCCACTCACCTTTATTGCGGCAGGCAGTCAGTAGTACAAGCGGCTCAAAATTCAAGTTCATAGATCAACCTTTTACTCGCCAACATGCCAACATCCGATCGAGCCGGCGTCTTCATTTGTAGTCAATTATACACCGAACCGACGACGGCGACCGATGGATGCACGCCGTGTGTGATTGTGAGTGCATGCATGTTTTTCCTCGTGCCGTATTCCGGTGGTGGCCACCCGGTACGGAAACCGTGTGACAAGACTCATGCGGTGTGCTAATCATATGCATATCATGTTCCATGTGCGTATCAAATTTGCATATCGAACATGAGCAGAAGCAGCACTAGATTGTTGTTCGATCGTTGTGGGGGACTTCCCCAACGGCATGTCGCGCGCGGAGGAGAAGATGGTCATTCGATCGGCTCGTGTGCGGAATATTTCCACTCTTATGCTACTTATGGCACTTTGATAGCTGAGTTGAGACTCCAATAGCAAATAGTATTGTGATGGTGGCGGGTGGTGATGTCGTTGCCGGTGATGATCGGGTGCGTTGTATAAGCGATAATAATACAGTGAGCTTGACATTGGCAGCCGATAGGTTGTTGTGCTTTCGTCTGTTGATAATTTGCTGCTGCTTTTTGATTGACCATGACCGCCAGGGTTCCAACTGATTGGTTGATTTCTAACGAAGGAGTGCCTTACTACGACGAAAGGAAACTGATGGATTTTGGACTTCGCTTACGGTGTTTTGGACGGTGGGTTTGACCTTGTTATCAGTTATAAATATGAATAATGTATTGGAAATAGAAAGTTTCTGCATAATCCTCTTATAGCTGTCACAGGCATCGACAGTTATTCGCCCTTCCGTTACCGGTTGTAAATTATAAGATATTATGATTTGTCTATTCAATCAATTGGATGTGACCTTTCAATAATTCGATATTTTTAACAATCAAGGTGTGACTCGAATTTCAGGCAGCCTCGAGATATGCAATTTATATCAGATATTGTACGGATAACGTTTGTACAACAACTTTAAAGAGTCAATTTAAGACTAATTGCGTTACTACAAGATTACTACAAGATTGGGCTCATCGAAAAAAATCTTCTTTCCTCATTTTTTCTTAGTAAAATACGTCATCTGGACAATACAAATGGATATTTTTGGTTGCTATTAAAAAGTTGTCAAAAAATGCTTTCCTTCGAAATTTATGTATGGCCCAATATTACAGGGCTGGTGGCGAGTAACTTTTTGGATCATTCTTCTTTAAAGGCCTACATTTTGTTCTATTTTTTGAACAATTCGAAGTACCTTGTATAGAGCTTTTTATTTCGTTTTATTATTCTTCTCTATCTACAGGGTGTCCACTCAATTGGCGTTTTTCCATAACTTTGGGGGATAATTTCCAGGTTTATAATAAGAATGCTATTAATGAAATGCGTTAAAAATATGTTTTTAACGCAAGAGTTTTTAAGACATGACAATCAGTTTTAAAGAAACAGCTTAACTATCAAATCCATTTAATGTTAAAGTTGAACACTTACTTCATTTTACTAAGTCTAAGACCACACATTTTTTATTGACTTTAATGAAGTTCTATTGACCTGGAAACTTTAATGAAGTTCTATTGATCTCAGAAAAGCTAGATCTAGAGATCTTTGGGGAATTCCAGAGGTCTTAAGTGGAAGTCCCCGAAACTTGAATTGGTTTAAAAATCTATAAGCGTGAGTCTAGACAAATTCAGGAGAGTTCCCTGATGTGCAGAAATAAAATCGAGAACCCATCAGATGCTCCGCAAGATTCAGTACAGAGACCTTCAGAAAATTTATGAAAACTTCAGAAATATTTCAAGAACTTTACAGAAATCCAGAGAATTCCAGGAAAGTTTAAAGGTGTTTACGAGAATTCAATTTATTTTAAAGCAGAACCGAGATTTTCATTATAGTTGAGATTTTTAGGGAAGCTCCGAGAACATCAAGACAGATCAGAGAATTGAAGGACAGTTCAATAAATTCCAAGAAATTGCAGAAACCGGAATTTCCGGAAACTTTGGTTTGTTCAGAAAAAAATTATGGAACGCAATAAAATTATATGAACATCCGGAAAATGTCAGAGTATTTCAAGGCAGTTTCATAGATCATGAAAATTTCAAGATCTTAAAAAAATTCGAAAATTTAGCTAAGTTGATTAGAAAACATCAAGAAGTTCCATTAATAAAAAACTACAAGGGACAGCCCTATGGGGTTGTACGAAATGATGACGTAGGACTACGTGGTCTTATATAATAAACGTTATTTGTTAACCGCAGCAGGAGCTTGTGTTTGTCGAATTTAAGCGGGATTCTCTCTGTTTATACTCTTTAGTAGGACTATGATTGCCCTGATAAGAACCTTTTGATATGAATTTTAGTTGGGACATGTTCAGAAATTTACCTTTTTTGGAAAATCTTGGTGGCCTTGAAAAGGGCCGATGGTACACACTACCAAAAAGTCATGTACATTTCTGTGCTCTGAGACCGACACATGCAAGCGGCCCAAATGACATAAGAATCAGTTGAAAGAAACGAGAAAATAAATTCAATCAATCGTACTTTTCGTCAAGTTGCGTAAGTTTCGGTTTGGGAACACTTAATTTTACATGACATGTTTGTTTACGTTCCATAATTTACGTCAAAGATAAATTACGTCTCGTGTAAAAATAGTTATTTTTAAGTGTGTAGTACAGGTTTAAAGTCTTTGGAAGATGATGCTGACGTGTAGGCAGCTGGATCTGCAAATCGGACCGGACAATCCCATATTCTTCGGTTCAATGGTTGGGCACTCGCAAGAGTCTCGGCCCGTCTACGGCTGGGCAGGTGTTGAAATTGTGTCTGCGACAGGTTGGAAGGCCGCAGAATATCAGTGTCTACCCAGCTAAAGCTCCTCCTCTTTTTAGTTTTTCTCATTAAACTCCTTCTCTCAACAAGTTGGTAAATCTTAGCCTTTAGCAGAAAGACGGTTAACGTCATGGATCTTCTCTATGCCGGTTCAGATAAATTAGTACTTTTATTTATTTTCTCAACTGCGCTAAATCGAACGAGTAGAAATAAGAACGGATGTCGGTTACGCGCTCGAATAATTGAAAAATCTTTACGATTAATCGTTAATCGAATAATTGGGCTTTTAGGCACCTTTAGAAAATAGTGTAATTTCATGTTTTTTGTAGTCCTTCGAAAATGTCGAACACCAGAATTGCAACCAACAAGTGTAACCCAAGAACCAAAAGCGGTGCGATGCTAGTTTTCATTGCTATGATGACGACTAAATTAAGGGGTTTAGAAGTAGAGGGGTGTAAGTCAATTCTCTTCATCGATTTCATATTTCGATGGCCATGGCTTCACTAACCTATTTCGCACTATTTCTGCTATGCTCTTCTATCATCCAGAACAACAAACGCATCAATGAATGTGTTTGCCGTCTAGTTATTAACGAAACAGAAAGTTGATGAAAAGCATCGATCAAAATCGCTTGCACCCCTGCTTCCAAGTTTGGTTACAAGATTACAACTCTGGAGAGCATTTTGTGTGGTCGTTGGGCGCGTGTGATTCTGAATATGGTGATGAGTGTGCAACATGTTACACCATTGCATCATCCCTAATCGTACACGCCCGAAGATCGTAGGCGAATGCCACTTCGACTTAATTCATCTACTAACGAATCTCTGATGACTGTGTTCGGGAAGCGGCAATGTTATATCGACATGTTTCGTCTAGAAACGAAGCTCTGATGACTGTGATGGGGAAGCAGCGTATGCATGTACGTAATTGGTGGATTTGTTAGGTATGTCGACGTTTTTGGACAATGCTTGACATTTACCACTTTTTCAATAGTTTCTTGTTAAAAATCAACAGTCGGAAGCAATTTCTGGCCGATTGATGATAAAATTATTGAAATTGATCCAGGGGCAGCTGAGTTATTAACGTTCAAAATCTTTCATAATTTCGTTACATGATCCATTTTCGGTTTTCACAAAGTGTATTTCCATATAGAAATCACAGGCGTAGTCCTACGTCAAAAGGCGAGAACTTTTAGCATATTTTCAAGAAATTCCAGAGAACTTCTAAGAAATTTAGATATTTTTAGATTGTTTCATTATATTCAGTGAAGTTCCGAGTACTTCGAGGACGATCAGATAACATCAGAAAAATCACATTAACTAAAGGAAATGTACAGCGACTTACAAGGAGTTACTCAGAATTACTGAATATTCCAAGAATTTTATTATTGATCCCAGCTAAAATTAG